TAGAAGAACGGCAGCAAAGTATAGAGGAAGCAAGTTACATTTTGGAAGCAACTCAAGGCATTCTGAAAGCTCTTTAGAAGCGTGAAATTCCTCGGTTAATTATCTAAATAGTCACTAAACTTTTCGTGACTACCCACGGGATCATTGAACTTCAAAACTGTCCCTATTAGTCACTGAACTTTGAAAATTGATATATAATCTATCACTGCATAAAAGAAGCTCGCAAAATTGAAAAAATTCAATGGCGTGTCTAATGGTAGGGTTGACATGACACGTTATGGTAAAAACAATACATCGAAATCACAAAAATTGGATTTTATATGCAAGTCGTCTACACCCTCTCATTTAATTTCATGGAGACGTAGTCTTAAATTCCGAATCTCCTTACACAAATCGTTATTTTCAACTTCACGTCTCCTTACATTTAAAGATAACATCTCATTTTTTTTTTGACAATGATGTGCTACGTATCCTTACAATTTTGCCAGCATCGTTTATTCAATGATGGACGAGGTACCCATTTTCAAAGTTCGGTGACTAACGGAGACAGTTTTGAAGTTCAGTGACCCTATGGGAACTTTACAAAAAGTTCAGTAGCTGTCTAGGGAATTAATCCTGAAATTCCTAATCTATCACCAATTTATATTGATGAATGCCGTACTTTACTCAAACATACTAACCAAATGCAACTGCCTCAAATTCTTACCTCTCCACCCAACTTTTGACCTCTTCAAATGACACATTGATGAAGAAAGTCATGGAAGAATGTCCACAAAAGTATTCTTTTGCAAGTGATGCACTTCAGAGTTCAATTCAAGATTTGTGTGCAGAAATTGCTGCTGCTGATTATCCAAATGCCTGTAAAAATGCATTTAAGAGGTATTCTTGATTGGTTTATCCACCTGAAATTGCTGTTAGAGAAGAGGGTTTGAAGCATATTTGTGATGTGGTTTTGAGTATTGGTGAAGATCTTCTAGCAACGAACTGATCACAGAGGTGAATAATCGACCCCAAACTTATTAAAAACAAGGTCATGACCGATTGGAGCAGCGAAAAATCGACCCCAATTTCATGAGCAACGATGCTTAATTTGTTGTTGTGGTTGGTTATTGATTTGTTTCTTGATTTCCTTGTGTAAAAATTAAGGATATTATATATTTTATTAATTTGTTAAGTTCCACCTCATTGACTGGAAGTTGGAGTCAAATGTTTCAACACCTACTGAACTTTGACATATATCACGACTTATTGAACCTTACATTGCTTCCCACTAGCCATTCAACTTCAAGTTTTTGCACTCTATCGCTCATTGGATGTTTTTCGTTTGAATTTTCGCCTACGTGGATGAAGGAAATCACACGTGACAATTAACTCCATCCAAAATTTAAATGAGACACTTCAAGATGTCAATGAGATCAATGGAGATTATATTATGATTATATTGACATCCTTATATTATTGTGTTTACCATAATTGTATATTACCATATTAGATTGATTACTTACTATAGTTATACATATTTCTATTCCTATATAATGAAAGTGATCCCAAAAGGGAAAACCATTCAGCCAAAATATTGACATTTTACTGTATATAGTGGAGGATCTAGAATCCTAACCCTCTTATCCTCCATATCCACCTGAATCGAAAACCTCTTATTCATTGAGCAAAAGAATCAGTTCCTCCGACTCTCTATCACTAATGTTCCAACCAAAACTAATAAGGACCAATGTTGTCTAGCCTAACTTACCTTACATGCCATTAATGCTATTTTGTCCCATCTAAATGTTAGGACTACTGTAGTATTGTTGGGATAACAATACTGAAGCATTGATTTAATTCATTACTTGTTTCCTTCCTTTTCTAGATCTGTCATTGTTTTCCATGGTCAAATTGCATCAATCTCTAGTAGCTTTTTGACGGACTAAAATCCTTGAAATTTTGATTAGTCAATTGAATCCATCGACTTTAGTTAGTTTCAATTTTTTTTTCTTTAGGCTCGAGTAAAATGACTGGCTTATGATGCAAAGTTAAGAAGCAAAACCTTGTCTGGTTTGATTTCTCCTTTTTTGCTTTCTTACATGCAGTACAGTAGCTCGATCATATGTATCGTATTTGACACTTGTTGATTCGGGAGATCATCTCCTATTGTACATACATAAATCATAAAGATTGTACATGAATTCAAATACATAAATCATAGTTCATGCATATGTACGTACATGAATTGACTAAACATGAATGGACTAAATTCTGTATAGAGTCTACCGCTATGATGCATGTGTATATTTTTACAAAAAATCACACGTCACCAAATTAATTTCGACACACGTTACATATGATTTTGCTTATAAACATTATTACATTCTAAAAAATTGACTTCGATTTTAAGCGAATCATGCTGATAACGTATTATAAACTAAAAAGAAAAAAAAAGAGAGAATAAACGAGAGAAGCCAATAAATTTTTTGTGCTTTATTAAGAACTAAAGTCCCATATATATAGGGAAGAATTAGAGCTACAAGAGATACAGCAGTCATAATGACTAGGGTTGTATGTGTCTAAAAATCATTCATAAATACTACTATATTTACAACATTGGTAAAATTGTATTTTCAATTAATCGAAGTTGTAGTATATGTGTATTTCAGGGGCATAATTTCATTATAAAGTGTTTCAAAATCCAAATGTTATTTCCTTAATAATGTATTGCAAGTACTAAGTCTTACTCCATAAATAAACTTCTTTCAAAATTAAATGAGAATAAATTTTCATATTTTTTTTTGAATTTCAAACTTGTGTAATATTTTATTTTAGCTGGAATTTGGAGACTGAGATTAGCGAGAGTATGATTAAGATGGAATATGATTATCACATTTTTCTAATGCGTTTGATGTAACATCTTATTAAAAAAATAAATAAGTGTTGTAAAAATAAAATAAAAAATGACAGTATATGGTCATTGATAGCGCTGCCTTTTACAGACCATTTTTAAGATGGATTAAACTAGTATCTTTTGATGTCTAAGTCATTTCCATATCGTGGAATCTATGTGTATTTATCGCTTACTTGTGTATAAGCAGATTTCCATCCCACGTTAATTTCTCATTATCACCCATTGTAAAATTATATAAGAGATTTTAAGTAAAATAATCGAAAAGTTTGATGGCTTCTTAGACTTAAATAATGTACTTATATGGATGCAAGTTTGTTGGGTGAGCTAAATATTTTGCATGAGAATGATGGATGATATCAATATTATTGTACATAGAAAAAATAGGCTCAGTGATATTGTTTCTATTGTGTATCAGATTTTACAGAGGCACTCATTGATTAACTCGTCTCTATTTTTCTTTAATCGGGATTCTACCAAGCTATAAGTATCTAATCGAGAGCAAAAGGAAGATTAGGGGTGGGAAGCGAAATAGAACAGGGGGAATGTTGATTGCTCATGGTGTGAACTATTAGTATTTTCTACTTGTACGAATGTATCTGTCTATAATTGATCATTCCTTTTTTCTTAATTCTGGCTCAACCTCACAATTTCAGTCTGGTCTTGACGTAGCCCATTTTTGGAGAATTACTTCCTCAGAGCTTAATGCTTACAATTTCTTGAACGGACCCCATTCAAATGGAAATGAAATAAGATATATATGTACGCAAAACCCTTACATACCCTCAGTCCCATGCATAATAAAATATTGCCAACCCCCACCCACCCTCCTATTGTGAGGTATTGGTGGGGATTCCCCACACCCCAAGACCCACGAGAAACGGAAATATACTAATACAACACGTAACACAGAGTTGAGAGTCCTTAATACAACAATTATCCCCGACTTGTCACCCACGATAATTGAAACATTGTAGTTCATCGGAAGAGAGCTGAACAATTGAACAAAATAGACTCTAATGCACCAATGCCATGGAAGGCCTATGGACTCTTGCACTTTTGGTTGATGCAGCGATCTCCATCTGCCATAGAAAATTATGGTTCCCCTGTAGATATTCTTCTCTCAATGCTGCTTCCTTGATTGTGTTAGCGGTCGCGGTGAAGTTGTGAATGGATCTAACTACTCCAATGAAAGGTAATTACAATCAAGCCTCTAAAAGTAGTAGTACTGCTCTCTTGTGTGTTTCAACCACTCATTTCATGTCTTCTCTGGGAACCATGAGGGATAGAGAAATATTAGTGAACTTGATAGCATTGGGTATCCTTATAGTGACGCTTACCGTAAATGTTATCATCCAAGAATCACAGGTGTGATTGAAGATGATTTCCAAGTGGTGATTGTCTTTAAGATTGTTTATGCGTTCATTGTATTGAGTTCTTCTGCTTTAACGGTATTTACAAGTAAAAGGTATTCCGAACTTAAGTGCAACGAAT